CTCCCTGATTGGCTGTGTATAAATTCTGAAAAAAGGATGTAGCAAGTGCCTCCATCTCCTGAATATTATCCGTCATGGTACCATCATCCTTCTCCAGCTGACTAATTTTATTTTTCTTCTTCCTCCAAGTCGCCTTGCGGTGAAAAAAATCTGTATTTCTATCACCATCACGGAGATAATCCATCCTCGATCTTTGTTTCCAGAAAAGTTCTTCCTTCTCTAGCAGACTATCTAGCTCCTTTTCTAGCCTTTTTTGAATCGCTTGTTTATTCGGATTATTGCTATGTATTATAGCTTCCAGTTCCTTCCTTGTCTTTTCTATCTTCCTTGGGACCGAGCCCACTGTCTTATTACTCCATAAATGGAGTGCGTCCATCACCCCCTCCAGCTTGGATGTTACGTCTCCTAGGTTCGTTGCCTGCCTATGCATGGTCCAAGCAACCTCTACTTCATCTGCTAATGTTTTTTCTTTTTCCCAAAAAATTTCATATCTACAGCACCGGCGACCTGAGCTACTCCCCGATGATTTCTGTGTGAGACTGATTAACAGGGGTGTATGATCTGAACGCGAGGATACAAGATGTCTTACCTGACAGTTCGGAAATATGTTCGACCACGCTGGGCAAGCCACCGCACGGTCAAGTCGCACCTTGACGTTACGTCTGCCAGATTGTTTGTTATCGTAAGTCCACGGCGTGCCGGAGAAGCCGAGGTCATGAAGGTCACAGTGTGATAGAATTTCTCGAAAATCCATCATTTGTCGTTCCCCTCTTTTTGTTTCAGAAAAGTGTTCATTTTGGTACAAAGCTTCATTAAAATCTCCGGCCATTAGCCAGGGAGCATCAAGCATAGGTTTTATTCTTTTTAGCAAAGTCCACATGTGGTGCCTAAGGTGTGTGCGAGGCTCACCGTAAACAAACGTGCATCTCCATTTATTATTTTTTGGCCATTCATGAACAATTACATCAATGACTCGACTCCCTATCTTAAACAACTCGACTTTGACATCCTCATGCCAGAAGAGGGCTAGACCTCCCCCCTTCCCTGGCTCATGAAAGGATACTACATGTTTAAGACCTAACCTCCAACGTAAACCTTCTACTACGAATTTATTTTGACGAGTCTCCGACAAGAACAGGAGCTTTGGTTGATGAGCATGCACGAGGCGAGTAAGTTCTTGAACTGTCCGAGGGTCGCCCAAACCTCGGCAGTTCCAACAAAGGATCGTCATGGCTCCTGACAGGCGCGTTCCTCCGCGCCTGTCAGTTGACCAGCGGCCCCAAGGCTGGTTGCCTCCCTTTCAGCTTGCTTCTCACTGCCATCAGATTGCAGTCCTTCTTCTGTCGACCAAGTGCCACGGCTCCTCTTGCTGCTCTCAAAACTGAAACGGAAGTTTCCACCCTCATCCAGCTGCATTGGGTCAAGGTCTTCCACGCCACGCTTGCCAAGTCCCGTCATCTTGCCTCCTACCAACAAGTCTACGTCTCCCACTCCTGGGGCATTCGCATGTACTAATGGATCACCCCCCTGAATGTTTGCATAAAGTAGCTTTGTGGAGTCCGTCTCGCTAGATCCTTGATGGCACTCTGCATGTGTCCTACCACCTGTATGTTTGATCACCTGTCCCTGATGTTCATGCTCAATCCTGCTATGTGCATCCGCGCACACCTCTGTTCCTATGTTCTCTCTTTTTGCTCTTTCCTGACGCTGACTTAACATGAGTTTTGGTGTTGGTGTAGTTACATTTTCTTCATGCTAGTGGATCGCACAACATCTGCTCTCCTTTTGTGAATTAAGAATGAATTGTAGTCACTCCTTTTTCCTACCTTGCAGTCACTACAGTGCTTGGACTCGAAGAAGGAAAAGATTGTGTGCTTGTTGGGACTTTATACAAGCACATGAAACTGAAGCCTTCTATTCTCGATGAATACTCAAAGGAGGTAATGTAGCATTATGGTAGTGCTTCCACGGGTTCTTATACGATTCCTGTGTGTAAAAAATCTGATGTGCTTCTGCATGAACTTTCTGTGCTGCAGAGGTCGGCAATCCCTCTTGTTAAGCCACACAATTTCATGCATTCTGATGATAATCTTATTCTGGAAGATGAAAGTGGAAGAGTTGCACTTGCAGGAGCCATACCTCCAGCAGCTTATGTGACTGGTAAGTTTGACTGTCACTTAAAAGACTTGGCATGCTGCAAATTCAGGGCTTGTTTCTTTAGCGCTGTACAATCTGTTCTGTACTTTTAACCAGGATGTCATATTCTTCGGAATAACACTTGATCATCTACAGGAGTTGTAGTAGCTCTTCATGGGAAGGAAACAAGTGCTGGCAACTTTCTTGTTGAAGATGTTATGGAGGCTGGTCTTCCTCCTCAAACTGTGTTGCCCAGCATAAGTAATATTTTCTGTATTCTGCAGCGCTCATTCCTGCATATTTTTCCATGTTGCTATAAATTTCCAGTTGTGTTAAAATTGCTCTGGAATCACATCCATTTCTGTTACAGATGAGGACAAGTATGTTGTTTTTGTGTCGGGATTAAGTGTTGGGAGCAGCACATTCAATCCTCTGCAGTTCCAACTTCTTATTGACCATATCACTGGGCATTTGGGTGATGAAAATGTATGTCATTTGTCATCATAAATCTAAGAATTATTATACTCGAGCGAGACACTAATTCTGATGATCTCTCATGAAATTAATTAGGAGCAAACCATAGCATCGAAGATAGTTCGTGTTGTGGTTGCTGGAAATTCAGTACATATTGCACCAAGGTTCTTGAATGGCCAGGTAATGACATTGCATTTCACATGTTTTCTGGCTACTTTGTGAAATTGCTTAGTAGTATGTATCAATCTTTCAGACAGTAGCTGCAAAAGATCAACCAAGGATAGCTGAGCCAATCAAAGAACTAGATATAATGCTGACTCAGGTTCAACTGTTTTACCTTTTCCCATCAAAATTTTGCCAGTGTGACTGCTCCGGTCTCTGTTGTAGATCTTGATGTAACCCCATTTCCTCTGCAGCTGGTGGCGTCATTACCTGTAGATATAATGCCAGGTTGTAACGATCCAGCGAATTTTGCTTTGCCTCAGCAGGTGGGTTCTTGATGCTGATGAATAGCTATTGAACTGTATATCAGTACCAATCAATGGGACTAGTTTCTTTTGAGCATGCATAACTAACTCATTTCTTAATTTATTTATTGTAGCCTTTGCATAGATGCCTTTTCTCTGGAGCATCCACCTATAATACGTTTTCATCATGTCCGAATCCACATCAATTCGATCTTGACAATGTCAAGTGAGTGGCACTGCTTCTTTAACTATCTATAAATGAAAACAACTTGGAGATTTTTATGCAAGAAATTCTGTATGCAGGTTTATTGGAACATCTGGGCAGAACATAGATGACCTCTACAGGTACTCGGATGCCAAAGATAGGCTGGAATTCATGGAAAGGACATTGAAATGGCGCCATCTTGCTCCGACTGCACCGAACAGCCTAGGTAACTCACTAGGCATTTCAAACTTTGGTGCCTTAGTGGTAATGATGATATTGTTGGGTAAAATGACCTAGTGCCGTTATCATCATTTACTTATTCTACCTGAATTTCATGGTTTAAATGGTCACTTGGTAGTTGCATTATCTTAGGCTAGATAATCCTTACATACCTATCTGTTTTATCCAGGATGTTATCCATACACAGACAAGGACCCTTTCCTCGTCGAAACCTGCCCCCATGTTTACTTCGTCGGGAATCAAGATAGATATGAGACTCGACTGTTAAAAGGTACCGCTTGAAGCAAAATTCATATGTTGTTTCAGCACCCAGCTAAACACCCTTGTTATCCAGGAACGGAGAAGCAGCAAGTCAGGCTAATCAGCATTCCAAGATTTTGCGAGAGTGGAATCGCTGTCATGGTATGTACCAATGGTAGCTCTACATTTCCCACGTTTATAGTCTATCAATGGTTTGATTTGTTGCTTTTCCACAACAATAACAACTGTATAAAGTAAAACAGAAGGCTAGCTATGAAACCATAAGTTCCATTCCTCTGTTCTGTTTTTATTACCACCCGTGGTTGATTTTTGTATGGAATGCGTGGTGGTAGTTTGCTGACAAGCATATCTGCATGTTGATACAGCTCAACTTGAGGAACTTGGAATGCAGCACCTTGAGCTTCTCAACGAGCTTCGAGGACGCCTGACTTTGCTCCGTGTATGGAGCGCACACAAGAGGGTCTGCTTTATGCAGAGCTTAATCTTTTGTAACCTGTAGAGGCTTATGCAAGGGCCACCGTGGAAGGATGTTTTGTAGACAAACAATTCTTAGACGTGTGATGACCTAGGTTTCTCCAAATTTACCTGTTGGTAGCCCTGTGCTTGGTTGTAGCTAGCAAACAAATGGAAGAAGCTCATGCTTGTTTTCCCAGTTTCCATCGGCTGATTCATTCGTCAGATCTTGTGTCCTGTTGCCATCGGTGTTGGCAAATGTATCAGTCTCCTCCGAAACAGATTGTGTTCTTGTGTAGTATGCCTGTCTGGAAGCACATCTGTGGGTATCCGGCAGATGCGTTCGCCAGGTTGCAGAATATCCGAGAGCATATTCAGATTCTCGTTGGTGCAAACGGCCACCTGTTTTATCCATAAATGTACTGTTATTTTTGTGTTAAAAAAAAGGCGGTGCTACCTGACGTTTAGTTTGCATCTCCAAGTGAAAATTCTTGAGAAGCAGGAGCACTCTTTAGGTCAGAATTTATAATCTCATCATCAAGAAATGAAACTATTTTTTCCCGCAAAAAAAGAAAGAGAAATAATACTATTTTTCTCTGCGACAGCCTCTCCTGATCTTGAAACCCCAAAACCTGTGGCTGCAGCTCGTCACGCACAGCAAAGTGCCAAAACCAGAGCAGGAGCTGGACCGGCTAGACTACTGAACCAGTCCGCGCTTGTGTGTGTTGCGCCCTCGCCCTGCTCCCCCCCCCCCCTCTGTCGCCATGGCCGCCGCACTCTTCCCCCAGCTCGCCGCGACCCTGCCGTCTCTCCGCCCTTCGCCCTCGGCCTCTCTACTCCCGCCCCGGGGCGCCCGCATCGCCCTCCGTCGGTCCAGGTGCGTGCCGGCCGTATGATGCCCTCCTCGCCCCCTTCCTTACCCTAGCGTTCCTTCTAACAACGGGCATTGGCCGGAGACAGGGAATGCCATCTTGATTAGTAGAGTACTCCCTCCGTCCGAAAATACTTGTCATCAAAATGGACAAAAAAGGATGTATCTAGAATTAAAATACATCTAGATACATCCCTTTTTATTCATTTTGATGACAAGGAGTATTTAACCAAAAACTACCACAATTCGCGGAAACGTGACAGAAAACTACCACTTTACAATTTTGTCCCGAAAACTACCACTTTTTTATTAATCCGTGACAAAAAACTACCAAGTGTGAAAACTGCTCGCTTTGCCTGCAATCGGGTCCCTAGTTTTTTTTCAAAAAAGCAATCGGGTCCTCCGCCTCCTTCTCCTCGTCGCCGGCCTCCTCCTTCCCCAGCCGTCCGCAGCTTGCTCGCCATCGCTCGCCATCGAACGGGTCCTTCCCCTGCGGCCGTCCCCACCCACAACGACGTTGCGGTAGAGGAAGACGGGGAGCGCGTCGATGAAGGCCTGGGGAAGGAGGCTGGGCATGGGGAAGAAGAGCTATCCTCCTCCCGATCTCGTCCCACTTCTTCTTCTTGGACGGCGGTGCTGTGATCGTCGCCAGCGCCATTGACGAGGGCGACGAAGAAGATGGCGGCGATGGCGAGGGCGAGGCCGTCGAGCCCAGCCCAGGGGCGCCGACCGAGGGACTTGCTCTTCGCCAGGTCCTGCTCGTAGCGGATGTACTTGACGGCGGCCATGGCAAAGTTGAGCCCCTGGGCGAGCTGGATGCCGCGGACGACGGGGAGCGGCACGAACCAGTAGACGAGCTTCATAAGGCGGGTGACCCCGAGGACGAATACGAACGCCGAGGTGAGGATGCCGGCGGCCATCATCTCGGGGACCCCGAAGGAGGCGTCGGAGAGGGCGACGGCGGCGATGGTCTTCATGGGCTGGACGGGCATGGGGACGCCGTAGAGGAGGCCCGCCGCCCAGTGCCCCTCCACCTTCGCCGCCTGGGTTGGTGGTGCAGGGTTCACCGGAGCAGGAGGGGACGACGCTGGTGGCGCTGGGTTCACTGGTGATGTCGGAGGCGATGTTGGTGGCGTTGGCTGTGCTGGCGACGAGGAGGAGAAGGAGGCGGAGGACCCGATTGCTTTTTTGAAAAAAAACTAGGGACCCGATTGCATTTTTAGCCCGTTTATGTGTGGGGTCGGGCAGTCAGATTCGCGTTTAACCCAGGCAAAGCGAGCAGTTTTCACACTTGGTAGTTTTTTGTCACGGATTAATAAAAAAGTGGTAGTTTTCGGGACAAAATCGTAAAGTGGTAGTTTTCTGTCACGTTTCCGCGAATTGTGGTAGTTTTTGGTTAAATACTCGATGACAAGTATTTCCGGACGGAGGGAGTAGTTATTACTCCGCCGCTTTCTTTCTTGACGTATTTGGAGTTGCGGCTGCCGTGCGGGCGTTCCATTTTGCCGATACGGGTGCAGGGGAAGGAAGGGAAGGGGTGAAGTTCTGCGATCTGTATCTGTAGTAGGGTCTGGTAATTTCGTACTGTAGAGATGAACTGAAAAAATTGACCACATATGCCTTCCTGCTAACCAGTCAGCTGTGCCAGTCTTGGAAATACCTAACATGTCGTAGTGATTGATACCGTGCTTCATGATGTATCGAGGTCAATCAGTCTTAGGAATACCTAACTTGCTGTTATGTGGAGTATTTTATACCGCTTTTGGTAAAAGGAAAAAAGATCATAGAATGCCTTGCGAAATGATTCAAGGCAAAATATTGTCGAATCTACAAAGGAGGAATTTGTATAAGTGCAATCCCCATTGATTGGAACCGGCTTTCTGCTGACCAACATACTCAGTTCAAGCTGCAGCACGGCTCAGGAGGCATGGGCCCTTTTTACAGGAAGGTTGATGTGATGTTTCTAGACCACGGTGGAGGGAGCAGCACGTTACTGTCTGTCTCAAAACCGGTTGCTCTCAATCGTTATATTTAGAAGACCAACTGATAGGATCGACACTTGAGTTCAGTTCAAAATTGACACACCATAGTCCACATAGTAGTATAGATAAGTTTTGTTATTTGGCTTATCTGATGCACATATGTGGATCGAATCTGTCATCTGTGGCTTTGCAAAATTGGGATAACTGCTAACTGCAAAAGAATCACCTACATGTTAGAAATTTCAGTTGTCCATTTTGTGCGCAACCGCATGCCACTTGAAAATATTTGAGCGGTGACATGGTTGTGGAGAGAGCCCATATGGCATCGGTTGTTGCCATGTTTAGTGAATTGGCAAGGGCACCTATCTGTTTATCACTCTCACTGGTTTGCACTGCAGGCATCCTTACCCTTCGTCAAGAAATTCTGGATTGTTCGAGAGACAGATTCCCCTAACACCGAGGTTTCGAAACAGAGCAGCACTGGCGACACCGACTCTTCTCCAGATGGGCCGCCAGTGCTCACCATTCTGGCCGGTATCGCTGTGTTCTTCCTGCTCTTGTGGATAATCGGATTGATCTTCACCTGGATCGTTGGTCTGGTCTTTGGGGCTGCGAAATCTTAGATGTTCAGCAATCTTAGGATAGTTCTGCTCCTTTTCAGTTGTATATACACTTGTTCCCGACTGATGCTTGATGATAGCCCTGGATCATTGCATCCTCTGCTGTCATTTCCAGCCGAAACTCTTGAATAATCGTATCACATATTTCTAGCCAAATTTCATGGATTAACGCGTTTCACGCTGTTATTTCTGGCTATATCTTTGGCTCATGGCAGCAAGTGCTGTTATTTTGAAGAACGACAGTGCCTGTGTTGGTTCCATTTCTTCTTTGCTTGTCTCCGCGCAGGCTAAGAGAATGGGCCCTGGAAATTGAATGCGAATAGGCAAGGGCACCTATCTGTGCCCATACGCACATCGGTTCTCTCCATGTTAAGTGAAATGGCAAGGAAACCTATATCAGTATGTCACTCTAGTTGTTTTGTACTGCAGGCATCCTTACCCTTTGGCAAGAAATTCCGGGTGGTTTCAGAATGCAACAAGGTTGAGGACAGAAGACCCAAAGAAGACTCTGTTTGCATCAGATTCAGATTCTCCTAGCACCGAGGTTTCAAAACAGAGCAGCACTGGTGACGCCAGCGCTTCTCCGGATGGCCCGCCAGTCCTCACCATTTTGGCTGGTATCGTTGTGTTCTTCCTGCTCTTGTGGGTAATCGGATCAATCTTCACCTGGACCGTCGGTCTGGTCTTCGGGGCTGCGAAATCTTAGATGTCCATCAATCATAGGATAGTTCTGCACCTTTTCAGTTGTATATACACTTGTCCCTGGCTGCTGTTTGATGATAGCCCTGGATCATTGCATCCTCTGCTGTCATTTCCAGCCGAAATTCTTGAATAATTGTATCACATGTTTTAGCGAAATCTCATGGATTACCGCGTTTCACGCTGTTATTTCTAGCTAATTTTTTTAAATAATACAATTTTTATATTAAATTTCAGAAATATTACGCCGTAATTATATTTTTTAAAAATATTACCCAATCGGCCTACTGCTGACTGATTGGATCCAGTCGACCTACTGCTGACCGATTGCCCCCCAGTCGGCCCACTGCCGGCTGATTGGATCCAATCGGCCCACTGCTGGCCGATTGGCCCCAGTCAGCCCACTGGTGGCCGATTGGCATCCAGTCTGCTTCCTCTAGGCCGACAGGTGCATGCACCCATCTATCTGTTGAGTAGGTATTTTAAAAATGTTGAAAAAGTATTTGAAAAAAATGTTGATCATGCATATAAAAATGTTAATCAAGAATTTTAAAAAAATGTTGCACAAGTATTTGAAAATGTTGAACAAATATTTGAAAACTGTTGAATAGGTATTTGAAAAATGTTGAAGAATTATTTTAAATTTTTTTGATCATGTATATATAAAAATGTTAATCAAGCATTTGCAACAAATGTTGAAGAAGTATTTGAAAAAAATGTTGAACAGGTATTTGAAAAAAATGTTGAACAAGTGCAACAACATTTTTTCAAATAATTGTTCAACATTTTTTCAAATGCTTGGTTAACATTTTTATATACATGATCAACATTTTTTAAAATGCCTCTTTAATATTTTTCAAATACCTATTCAACATTTTTCAAATATTTGTTCGACATCTTTAAAATACTTGTTCAATATTTTTTTAAATGCTTGATTAACATTTTTATATGCATGATCAACATTTTTTTCAAATACTTCTTCAACATTTTTCAAATACGTATTTAACATATAAATGGGTAAATGCACCAGTCGGCCTAGAGGAAGCAGACTGGGTGTCAATCGACCAGCAGTGGGCCGACTGAGGCCAATCGGCCAGCAGTGGGCCGACTGGATCCAATCAGCCGGCAGTGGGCCGACTGGGGGGCAATCGGCTAGCAGTAGGCCGACTGGATCCAATCGGTCATCAGTAGGCCGATTGGGTAATATTTTTAAAAAATATAATTACGGCATAATATTTCTAGCTGCTGCCATGTCATCAAGAGTTAGTATAAGGTTACAACCTTTTCTCACTTTCTCTCAATCTCTCTCCTCACATTAAATGTTTTCTTTTACCTTTTTCATGTTTCTCTTCTCCACATAGGCAAAAGTGCCATGCAAGCAGGCTTATAGCCTACTATTGTACTTGCTCTCATGGCAAGCGGCCACTGTGTTGGCATGCCTAATCAGAATATTTTTTTTGGTAGGAGTGAAGTTGGGCACGAGCCAAACACACCCGTGCTTGTGACGTCTTTGTACCAGAACAGAAGAGAGGACACACTCGATCATTGCGTTGGCTGTGTTTATTACCCCCGACGATGTGTACTTGGGACAGAGTTACTCGCCTGCAGAAGGTACTGCCGTTGCACGACGGAGCAAGTGTGCAGTACACGTACGTCCTCCACGGCTCACGGGCGGGCGCTGTGCGTGCGTCAGTGCTGTCATTTATTACGCCGCCGTCGTCGTCGCGGGCCAGCCGGTCAGCAGATCTAGCCTAACGGCCTGCATCCCGTGGATGACAACGAGCGATGATGATGGAGATTCCCTTCCGTTTTGCCCGCCGGTGTCACGGGACAAATGAAAATGGTGGTCACACACAGCACAACGACCACACGATCGATCGAGCTCGAGCCGGCGGAGAGAAAAGCGCTCACGCCCACGACCACGAGGCCGGCCAGCGATGCACTCTGCTCACAGGTGCCGACCACGACCGCACCAGCACCACACCAGCGTGCGTCGCGGCCAAGTGGGATCCCACCTACCCGCGCTCCGCAACGGCTATATTCCTCCTCGCCTTCCCCGCGCTTAAATCCCGCGGCCCCTTCTTCCTCCTCATCCCCTCCCGGTCTCCCGCACCATCAATCAATCCTGAATTCCTGACTCCGCAGACCTCCTACCTGCTCCCCAACGGCTACTGTGCCATTACCCCCTCCGGCGAATCCAATCCAATCCAATGGCGACGACGCCGGCGCGGCCATCGCAGAGCGGGGCCGGAGGAGGCGGTGGCGAGGCGGTGTCGGTGCAGCACGTGGCCAAGGCCTCCTCGGACGAGCTGCTCCGCAAGTTCGCCGACCCGGAAGACGACGACGACGCCGCCAAGCAGGGACCAACCCCGCCCCGCCGCAGCCTCGCGCTGCGCCGCAAGCGCTCGTCCCGGCGCGTCGCGTCGGGGCTCTCCGCGAGGGACTCCGGTGCGGCGTCCGGGGCGGGGCTGGAGCTGGCCGCGCCCAAGCGCCGGCGCAGCATCGGCGGATCAACCGACTGGAGGGCCGGGCTGCTGCTGCCCACCACCACCGCCTCCTCCTCCTCCTCCTCCTCGGCGCGGAAGGGCAACGGCGGCCACGCGCGCGCGAAGCGGGGCGCGCGGCTCGACGAGGCCGGCGTCGCGCACTTCCTCGCCGCGCTGGAGCGGGTAAGCTAATAAACAAGCTGGCCGTCTCTCTGTCACGCCATTTCTGAACCTTAATTTCGATCGCCTCGGCTCACACGCCATTTTGTTGGGTGTCCTTGCTCAGACGTGGAAGAAGACGGTGGCGGGCGCGTCGAGGATGTTCGTGGAGAGGCACCGGAGCAGCCACGTGCAGCTCATCAGCGACATGGTCTAGCTGATCACCCTGCCCGCTCGGGGTAGCTTCTGCGAATTAACTGAATTCGTTTCTGAACTTGGCGGAATAAAAATGGCAGAGGAGAATTAACGAGGCGAACCGAATCCAACCAGCTATTACGTTTCTCCGGGGGTTCAGCTTCTTTCTCTGCCAGTGTGTTTGCTTATGCTCATTTCATCATCGTCACTACGTACATTGTAAATTCAAGTTTGCAAATTCCATACCAGTGCTGTATGCCAATTGGATTTTTCATCTTCCACTGCACCAGTACTGTTTACTTGCAGCTTGTGTAAAATTTCCCTACAATTGGAGTGACGACTAGAGGAGACCGAGAGAAAGAGATGATACTTTACAGTACAGGCGACAGGTGTATCTGTGATGGCAGTGCTACTGCCCTTTTTTTTTTGAGAAATTGCTATTGCCAAGTGTGAATGTGGATAAGGCCTTGGGCTTTCTGTGTTGGGCCTGCACTGGATGAGCGCTGGAGGGGATTCTTCAATGAATGGGCCTACTTGCTCATCGTGCGCTCTAGCTACACAATCGTACGTTCCTCTCTCTCAAAAAGAAAAAAAACAATCGTACTACGTGACGCGCTCGCTGGCTTTTACCAAGTTTTCTGTGCAAGAGATTCTTGCTGTGCGCGTGAATGATGCTTGGTTTCCTCTTTGATGAACACACCTTTTGCAATGCTAGAATGACGTTCATTTACGAACTTCTGAACTCTCTGAAGGTGTGCAAGCAGAACAGAAACAAGCAAGTTGTCAAATTCAGATCACACTGGATGAGAGGGATGTGCATCCGTGCAGTGCAGGCCTCGCCTCGCAAGCAGCACACACTGGTTGCTTGGCTGCTCCAAACTGTGCCCCACGGAGACATAGGTCGCCAGCTCTTTCCATGCACTCTCGGCATGTGAAATTTCCAGCCTGCTTTCTTCTTATTTTGGTACGTACAAGAACCTGCTTTCTTATCTCTAGTACTCCCTCCATTTACTTATACAAGGCCACTATGAAATATATGTTTTGCATTTATACAAGACCACCAACAGTAATCGAAAAAATAATTAATGATATTTTCTCGTACTAGCAACCTGTTTACTACTTGCATGCTTGCAGTCATAATGATACTAGCTACTTTTTTCATTCAATTGTCTTGCATGCATGCTGCGTATTATTTATCCCAATAAACGAAAAGAAAAGCAAGTTTGCATTAAGTTTTACCTTGGTAGCTGTAATCTAAGTTTGTGGCCTTGTATATAAAAATGAAGAAAATATTTTACGTAGCAGCACGTAACGTAAGGTTCCACGGCCTGAATAAACATGTCCAGTTCCGAAAGGTAAAAGGCAGATAGTAGCAAGCAGGATAAGTGATCAGTCGGTCCCATGAATTTTGACGCTGGTAGGTATCATATACTCGCACCCAGCAAACCCCCTAGGCTAAGAAAACGTGACCTCAAGTCAACACTGACATTATTTATTCCGTGCACCGGACACTGGTGAGCTCCTCCTTTTCCTAACAGCAAGCCTCTGGGTGCGGTGCTCTGAATCTCATCAACCACTGGGCAAGGTTAGTTTGGGCGGACGGTGCCCAGGATGAGATGTTGAAGTAGTCTAGCCCGAGCCAACCCTTGATCATGCCCCAAAGCCTAACGGAGTAGCGGCACTTGTAGAAGAGGTGGCCCACTGTTTCCATTGTCTGCTTGCAGAGAGGGCAGAGGCCGCAGGTCGGCCACCCTCTCCTCTCCAATATATCCGTCGTCCAATCTCGGTTTTGGATTGCGAGCCAAGCAAAGAATTTCATCTTGGGGGGGGGGGGCAGACTTTCCAAACGGCGGAGCCCAAGGGCGAGCTGACAGTCCCAAGCAGTTGCGCATTGTGCGCGGAGGTGGCGGAGTAGATTCCGTTGTTGGTGTGTTTCCAAGAGATGGTGTCAACGGTGTCCACCACAAGGGTGATGGCCCTCAACCGAGCCCAAAGAGTAACGAGATGCCGGACATGTCCCATTGTCCAGTTGATGGGGAGCTTGATTTTGGACAGCCACGCGTCCGCATGCATGGCCTCCTGGACCTTCCAATTCTTCCTGGTGGAAGCCTCGAAGATGAGAGCTGCTATGCTGGAAGGTTTCTCGCCATTAACCCAAGGTGAGTCC